TAACATATAAGAATACAAGTACATGATCATGAATAAATATTTTGGAAGAACGTGATTGGCCATGAAGAGTTTTGTTTTCAAACTAGAAATGGTAGTAGCTTTAGCTAATACCTGTTAAAGTCATTATACACTGGGAAGACTCCCAGTAATAGCTAATGACATTCCAATAATAATAACAAAATAGAATGAAGGAAAAATCCAAACAATTTCAGCATTACAAGTTTGACTAATATATTGAATAAAGTGTTGAAATCTACTGGCAAAGATAATAGCTACTTGAAAATTGGCGTTTAAAAACAATAAATATGATTTTGACAAAGCCGTTGATAAGGTCCTAAACAAGAGACTAATTATGACATTAGATTTTAAAGAATTAATTAAAAGGTTAAGAAGTGCATAGAAAATTGACAGTGTGGTATAAAGTGCAACGTGATAACTTTTTTTATGTCTCGAATCATGTTACTATGATCATTTAAGGTCATAGGCTATTCTGCTCCTTGATGTTACCCTTCAACACATGAAACCAACAAACTATTTAATCATGTTACTATGATTATTTAAGGTCATAGGCTATTCTGCTCCTTGATGTTATCCTTCAACACATGAAACCAACAAACTATTTAATCATGTTACTATGATCATTTAAGGTCATAGGCTATTCTGCTCCTTGATGTTACCCTTCAACACATGAAACCAACAAACTATTTAATCATGTTACTATGATTATTTAAGGTCATAGGCTATTCTGCTCCTTGATGTTATCCTTCAACACATGAAACCAACAAACTATTTAATCATGTTACTATGATCATTTATAGTCATAGGCTATTCTGCTCCTTGATGTTACCCCTCAACACATGAAACCAACAAACTATTTAATTTCAAAGTAGCCCTTAACATTATTATAATTATACAATACATTAGCATATAATGTACCGAAAAAAAACACCCTCATACATATTGTTCAAAGTCATTACAAGCAGATATAAATCAACCTTAGTACTTCTATGCTCATAATAGAAAAAAAACAAAACAAATTTCTTCTTTGTACTGCAGTTCACTTCCTAAAACCTGATATATTTATAATAGCTTGCCAACACAATTTCTAGAATGTTCACATTTTACCTGTCATAAGGTGGTTATCACTACACACAACATTACAAGTAATGCCCAACCAATTAATAAACTCCCTTCTCCCAAATTTAGTTTTTGTAAATACTCCCAAGAACTCTGTGTTTTTTTCCTCACTAAATGTATTCTAAGAAGGCTTTAGTATAGCAACCCAAATGTCATCCCACTCTATAAACAGTCCATTAAACCAAAACTCTACCATGCCTACTCTGCATAAAGTGCCCTTGAAACAACTAAACACTTAGCTCAAGACTTCGGTTTTAATAATGTTCCCCTTACAAAGATGCAAGATTTTCTCATATTTCCATACTTTAACTGCATAGCTTTAAACTACTTAATATTAAAACTTTCTGGCCTAATTACTAAGATTGTAAAGATTTATTCCAATAAGAGAATCACTCTCAATCAGTTTTTTCCAAAAGTTTGCAGATGACATTAAGATTTCTGGGGTGGTTAACTGTATCAAAGATGCTGCAGACTTACAGGGAGATTTAGATCATTTTGATGCTTTGGGCTAATACATGGCAGATGATGTTTAACTATCCAAAATGTAAGATAACGTATGTAGGTTTTCACAATTCAAATTATTGTCAAAATTTCAATGGGAATACATTAAATACTGTGGTTGAAGAAAAAGATCTTGGTGTAGTGATTGAAAAATCACTTAAGTCACCTAAACAGTGTATTGTAGCTAGCTAATAGGATTTTGGGTAGCATCTATAGAAATACTGATTACAAGACAAGGGATATTATCCTTTCGCTGTACAGATCACTTGTAAGGCCTCATTTAGAGTCCTGTGTACAGTTCTGGGCTCCGTTCCTCAAGAAGGACATTGAATTGTGGTAGAAGGTTCAGCGAAAAGCCAATGATATCTGGGATGGTGGGATTGTCCTATGAGGAGAGACTAAAATCTCTAAACTTTGTTTTCTCTGGAGAGGAGAAGGGTTAGAAGGAATTTGATTGAGGTGTTTAAGATTATTAATGGTATTGATAATATAGATCCGAACTTTGTGTTTAGCAGTGAAAACAATAGGACAAGAGGTCATAAGTTCAAATTTTGGCAGCGTAGGAGTCATCTGCAGTTTATACAGAATTACTTTTCAAACAGAGTGGTTGGCTTTTGGAATGAGCTACGTTCAAGGGTGGTGGAGGCACAAAATTTAACTGAGTTTAAGTAAAGATTGGATGAATATATGACTAGTAAAGGGTAATTATAGTTGGAAGCTGGATGGGACATCCTTGATAGGCTATAAAGCTTTTTTTTTGTCCCTTTAAAATTTTACGCATTTTATGAATTTATAAGGAAATATTACTCTACAAGAAGCTAGTCAAACTGTTGAGATAAATAATGAACAACAAAGGAACTCTACTCGTCACATTCTTTCAACTAAATAAATCCTATTCATCACCATTCTTTGTTTTTAGGATGTACAATTCTCTATTCATATTTTTTTACTTTTCTTCAATTCTGTAAACATCTTGATTACTAATTTTTTTGCTTGTTTGGGTAGGTGAGAAGTAACCTTAGTAGATTGAATGACCTATCACCATGCCATTTCTTATGTTTTATTAATATTTTACATGGAACTTTAATAAAGGCTTTCAGCATCAATTTGGATTATACTTCATTCAGAAAAAGAGAGCTCTGTTGACAAGATAAACTAGCAAGGAAGAAAAATCTTTATAAAACCATGCCTAGATCCTTTAATTTCATGCCAGCATTCTACATGCTTCTCTAATATCCTAACATTTTGGTACACATAACAACAAGATTTAAGTTAAAGGGCTTACAGTTTCCTTGATCTTACCTTAATTTTTTTCTAAAGAGTAAATACTTTGGTATTTTTCGATCAACAGAAATTTTTCATTGTCAAGACTTTTTAAATGATAACTGTCTCTTTGCTACTTTTTTTTAAACAGTTTCTTCTACTTCAGACTAAGGTAAGAATAGATCCTCCTTATTTTTAAAGAAACTGGTCAGTTTAAGAATCTCTTCTCCTTCATCAGTAAAAACAGCTAAAAAGTGGCTTTGGATTTACTTTTATTTATTTACATGATCTTCAAAATAGACTCTAAAATCCACTAAATTTGTTGAAGTATTTCATCTTAATGACTAGAAAATGTAATACTATTCAAACAAAAGCAGGTTTACCATATTTTTTAACTGCGAATCTACTAACATAATATAACCTATGGACCATTTGATCCTTCTAGGCTGTCCTTGCTCACTCACAATTGGGAAGTGTAAAAATTTAAACCCACCCTTTACTTTTCAGGAATAATCAGTTCCACCTTTAAACTCCTGTAAATGCAGGATTCCATTAATGCCAATGGAAACTCTCCATAAGTCAATCACCCCGTTAGTAAAATAGAATAGTCTTAATTGGAGCCTAGCCTGTCTTTTCCCCAAATCTAAAACTTGTGTCTTCTTGAATTATTATCTTCTAAATATAACACAAAGAAATCCTATCAATCCCAAACTAAAGACAATCTTTTAAACTTAGATGAGACCACCTGTTACTTTTTTCAAGAGAAAATAAGTTGAGAAATCTTAACCTATTCTTATAAGATAACCCTTCTATTCCTGCAATCTTTTCATTAATCCTCTTCCTCTGAAACATTTCTAGTAAATCAGTATTATTTCTTAGACAAGGAGGCCAAAACTGAACACACTATTCCAAGTGAGGCTTAACTAAAGAATTGTATAGGTATAATTCTCTCTTTTCACTTGTAATCAATAAGTATATAAATAAACTCTAAAATTCTATTACCTTTACTACAAGCAACAATAATTTAATGGACTGAATCATTTACCCACCACTATGCCAAGTTCTTTTCTTCGGTCATGCTAGTTAGTTGGTTATTAAATGTGTAATCCAAATTTTGATAACCCACTTACTATAATTAAATGCCATTTTCCAAATATTTGCTATCTTACCAATTGATCCAATTTATTCTGTAGTGCCTTAACATCTACAGTACTGCTAAAAATAACTACGATTTAATGTTATCAGCAAATTCTACTAACTTACTTATTATTCACCTGTCACTATCATTAATGTAAATCACAATGACCATCACTCATCAAAAAAATAAAAATGATTAAACAATCAATTACTATTAATCTAAAATACTACTCATTAAAACTAAAAACAGAAGTAGGACCAAAACTGAAGTTCAAGGTTCAAGAAGCCTAAATATTCTTATCTAGCTAAGTTTAGAATAAGGAAAATTGCACAAAATAACTATATTGATGATTGGAAAATAATAATTCAAATTGATAATAAATTATTAAACTTAATCTGTGACAAAAAAAAAGTAGAATGTAAAGTTAAAACAAATGTAAATCTTGTTCTGTGTAACCAAAACATAATATTAAGTTTGAACTAATAGTAATAATGAAACACAATACTTATTCTATTTTTGTATACTAACATTAGTAATCAAATTAATATATTAGTATTATACAATAGTACAAGTTAGTGCATACTAGTACTAGAAGTAGTACTACCACAGTACTAGCAATAATATAGTACCAGAAACACAGTACTAACAATAGAACTAAAGGTAAAGGAAACTTGTGTAAAAATAAGGCAACACTTCAACGTTAGTACTAGTAGGCCTAATTAAATAGTTTAACGGAATGAAAGCCCATTAATGACTATTGACTTTGATCCATTAAATTTAAAGTGGAGTAATGTTACACTGAAGATGTTGTTATTAGAGTTTACGTTTACGTCGAGAACTTAAAAACCTGAAGTAGTATTTACATACTAGTACTACTAGAACTAGAACTTTGAAGTAGAACTAGTAGTAGACTAGAACTCAAGAAGGAAGTAAAGTTTAGAACAGAAAACATTCAATGTACCTGATTTCTTTGAAAGTTTGATCCGACAAAATGGAGTCATGTTTAACTTAAAAGTAAAGAACACTGCCAAACTTTCTACTTCATGTGTTGAAAAGTGAAAACCAGATGTACAAAAATAATCTTATACTTTTATTTAACTTAAAGTTAACTCACTGATACATTGATCCTCATATGTTCTAAGTTGTAGCACTATCGGTATAGACCTACAGATTACAGTGATGGGCTGAGAATGCAGTGCGACATCTAACGTCAGTAAAATACAGATTAACTAATTATGAGATAGAACTAAGTTTTTACAAATTATTAGTTAAAAAGCATAAGCCTGACGACTTACAGTTAAAATATATTAATAGCTGCGTCTTAGATTAATTAGCAATTTGCGTATTTGTTTCCTTCATTTAATAAGAGAATTAAAAAAAATAGTTTCTTCAACTGATAAAGAAAATATACTTATAATAAGACGGAAGATTAAAAAATCAGTAATTTAAAGACTAATGAAGATAAAAATGTGTAGCGATTTACTTCGATGATAGACAATGAAGCATGAAATTTGGATATCAAACTGATGACTTCGGTTTATTTAGTTATTAATTCTTCTATATCTACCAATTCACTTGTATGACTCTTGGAATTTCATAGTGTTTCACAAACATATTTCCAAGAGCATTAATTTCATTACCTTGATCTGAAACGTATTTCAATTTGACGATTTATTTAGTACTCCACCTTTTATATTTTGATGTTTTATTTTCTTGATATGGTCAAAATTTGCTTAAAGATACCTTTTCGGTATATTTGTGAATAATTCAACGACTTATAATCATTGATATAATTTCATTTCGCAGAATTTTACCTTAAGAGTATTATCAAGAACTTCTTATTTGTAAACGTCTCCTGTTTCTTTCCTTATTGCTAAGTGTCGGAGACTATGGCTTGTGAGATAATAATATTCTGTAGGTTCCTGTTCCTTGCACTGTTGGTGCATTGACAATCCGGTCCACTCCTTGATGTCGTCCGTCTATCTACTGGACTGTCGTTCAAGTTAGCGGCATTCTTGCAGCACGATCGTTGAAAGCTTGTTGGCCTTTTGTAAAGTACATACCAGAATAACATATTCATATCCTGGAGGCAGGGGTCGCTAATTCGAACAAGTTTATATCGTCTTTAACCATTCATATTCACATTTTAAATTATTTTATGTTTCATAACTCTTGGATCGCACAATGCTGTTAGGTAAATTGCATTACTTCTCAAAATTTTCAGATCAAAAGACATGATAAAACTGATTGTTTTTAACATCATTATTACACAAGTTCCCATAAGATCAAGTAAATACACAAATTTGTTTAAATATGTGTAATACACAAAGTGTGATGTCCATCCGGTAAATATAAAATGTATTGTACTGCAAAGAGCTGCACACAAAAATTTAAATATTAAAAATAAGTTATATATATGTATTTCAATTCTCTTTGTTGTTGACAATAAACCAATTTACATTTGGTGAAGGTTTTATGTATCAATAAATAAAATTATAAAAATGTGGAATATTTGATGAAAATATATTTCAGGTTAACTCTATTTATTCTTGTCAGTATACTTTATCATAACAATTCATGTGTTTAAAGTAATAGCAAAAAGAAATTAACCTTTGACTGTTTGTCTCAGAAACTTTGTACAAAGCTTCCCAAGGGCTTTCTATGCATATTGCCCTCCAGTGGCATAGAGGTGTGTCTGCGGACTTATAACTCTAGAATCCGGGTGGGCAGAGCACGGATGGCCCATTGTGTTGCTTTGTGCTTAATTACTAATGCCATGTTTAAATATTTTTTAATGAAAACAATTTCTGTAGACATCTATAATAACTTGGATATCTTGTTTTTGTTCTTTAAAAGGAAATAAAGTAGAATACATGCATGTTCATTGATTCTGATATAATTGTTTACCAAATAAATGTTAACAATTTCACTTTAGTAACTTCTTTTTTTATCTACTCTTTGAAGTTAATACAAGTTAAAACTAATTAATTCAACAAATATATAGTACACAATTGTTCATTGTTAATTTATGAATTATAAAACACTACTAGTTTTTGACATCAAGTAAATGTTTGGTTCGGAAATTCATGCTATCCGTGCTAGCCTTCCCTAATATTTAACTGATAGAGTCGAGGGAAGGCAGTTACTCAGCTGCATCAACCACTAGCTCTTGGGATTCTCTAACTGAATAGTGGGATTTCACAGTCACTCTTATAAGGCATCCATATTCTCAAACTGTGTAGCAACAAAACACAACCCGTGAATCTTTAGATTCATAGTATGTCATGCCAAACACCGTGACATGTCCTTAAATAAATTAAATATCGTTTTTAATATAATGTAATTTTTTTTATGTTCAGTATAATTATGTGTAAAACCTATGATAAAATCTTTCATTAAAAATGACTTTTTTTATTTGTGTGTTCACAAAATAGCTTCAAAACCTAAGAATTCATTAATGTACACAAGAGAGAGAGAGATTAGGAAAATTTATATACTTTTATAGCTACAAAATTAAATAAACAAAAAAAGGTTATCAAAAAATGTAAATCAATATTCCATGTAGCAGAAAATCATTTGTTTATCTTTAAGTTCTGAAAACTTAATCTATTTTTATGATAAGGTTTTCATCTTTGAAAGCTGTTCAACTAATACAAATACTCCTTAATAAAACCTGCCTGTTTATCTGTCCAGTATAAGTGCATCTTTCTTTCAATATAACTAAGTAGAAAAAGGTATCTTATTTTAAAATGAAACAGACTTTATGCTCAGTTAATCATGTGAATAGAATTTTAACAAAGGTATATTGAAAACTGAATGGTAGGTAGCTACGTAATACATCTTTGAAAAAATTAGTGAAATGCTCATGTAGCTTTATACTGAAAATAATTTATAATGAATTGTATTTTTATAGGTTGTCAGAACATAATTATATTAAACACCTAAAACAAACAATGCTAATTTTTTTTTTTTTTAGAGAATCGTTCACAAATGGCATGACGAAATGAATAAAATCATGGTAACTTTTCATCCACCACCTTAGAAGTTCATATACAAAATAACTTCCATAACAAGCTCAAAAATGACTGACCACACTCTTCAAATTTAGTGCTCACAGGTCGTTGAAAAAAAAAAATCATATTTTATTATCATTGTGATCACAACAATAAAATTTACAATAACTAAAATTTGTTGCTGTTGTTGAAAATGATAATATACATATTTTGCACTGGAGAGAGAACATTTAAAAAATGATAAAATAAAATGACTGAAATATACAAAATGGCCAACTCTGACATTACTGTCATTAGATAATAAGTTGCATAAAAAAATATACACAAAATTAACAGTTACTTTTAAGATAGAAAAATATGAACAATAAGTCAGATCAAAAGAAAAAAAAAGGAAAGAACATTTATATCATGTACATTAGATTCACACATTGTGGATGAATCAAAACTTATCTTTATACTGTTAAACACAAATTATAAATACCCGTGAGATGAATCTCCGATATTTTATCATTTATTAGTTTAAAAAATTCTGAAATCTAATTTTTATTTCCGATATAAGTTAAGTATATATAAATAGCATAAATATACACAATATCTTCACTGGCTATAGAGTAAGTTTACAATGGAAAACAAGACTCTCGATAAATGTGTTTGTATTTACACAATGATAAAAAATTGGTGGGTGGTATACAGTCTAAGTACATGTAATTACAGCTTGTATATTGATAAAAATAGTCTATAAGGGTTATATTTAAAAACCACTTAAAGAAACTTGCATAATTTATGAAAGCATTTTGTCCAAGAACACATTTTATGTGATGTGTAACAAGTATAAATTTAGTTTAATGGCACATAGTACAATCTTCAAGAATTCTTGTGATTGTAAAGCTTTGCAGCCAAACTCGCTTTAAATGAAATAAAAGAATTCCCAGTTCAACTATCACAACCTATGAGCAATCATTAAAAAGAAGTATATACAAAAACTTTACTGGAAGTATAGCCAGAGATCACAATACACACCTCCAATTTCACAAGTAAATCCAGCTTGAATACTTTACTGAAAGTATAGCCAGAGATCACAATACACACCTCCAATTTCACAAGTAAATCCAGCTTGAATACTTTACTGAAAGTATAGCCAGAGATCACAATACACACCTCCAATTTCACAAGTAAATCCAGCTTAAATACTTTACTGAAAGTATAGCCAGAGATCACAATACACACCTCCATTTTCACAAATAAATCCAGCTTCCAATGTCAAGATTTTTTATGCACTCAAAAATTTAAAAAGTCTTGCTTCCATAACAAACAAAATTCAGGTCACACCACTACACCATAATCTGGATCCACCACATACTGCCGTGTGCTTACGTTCTCACTCCCATTTCTTTGAACGATTGCTTCAGTAGATAATGATCTGGTATCAGGATACAGGCCAATATTTTGGGATATCACACTTTTGGTGCTTTCAATTGTGGGAATGATTGAAATGACGTTTGACCTTGTGAAGAATGCCATTTTTTCCCTGTAAATTGAATTCAGAAAATTAGTTGAGAATGTGACAACTATTTATTACTTCCAGTTAACGAAGTCAATGTTTTATTTGAGTGACTATGTGGCTTTCTCCTTCTAGCAATGGTTAAAAGTTCACACTTCCAAGTTTCTCTGCCATCCCCCCTAGACACACGACTTTTCATTTGTCACACAAATAAAAAGCCAAGTTTTTCAAAAAGTCAGAATATGATGTTCAGTCATTTTAAAGATAAAGAAGATTTTACGTTATAAAGTGTTTTTATGTAAGTATTAGTTGATTGACTTTATTCCACAATTAAAAGGTGTTTTTATGTAAGTATTAGTTGATTGACTTTATTCCACCATTATAAGGTGTTTTTATATAAGTATTAGTTGATTGACTTTATTCCATTATAAGGTGTTTTTATACAAGCATTAATTGATTGACTTTATTCCCTCATTATAAGGTGTTTTTATGTAAGTATTAGTTGATTGACTTTATTCCACAATTAAAAGGTGTTTTTATATAACATTAGTTGATTGACTTTATTCCACAATTAAAAGGTGTTTTTATATAAGTATTAGTTGACTGACTTTATTCCACCATTATAAGGTGTTTTTTTACTCATTATAGTTGACTGACTTTATTCCACCATTATAAAGTGTTTTTATGTAAATATTAGTTGATTGACTTTATTCCACAATTTAAAGGTGTTTTAATATAAGTATTAGTTGACTGACTTTATTCCACCATTATAAGGTGTTTTTTTACTCATTAGTTGACTGACTTTATTCCTTTGGATATAATGAAAATAATAATTACTTTATTACGAAAGCTTCCCCTTGGGCAAAAGTAACCCCAAAAGTTAGCTGCGAGAACATCAAATGAAGGGCAGGTAGTATTATACATTAACTGTTATATTTTTCCAAGTTTACCTTATTAAGATTGGTTCACAATCAGAGTTTAAGTATTCATTAGGTTCCTCAAGCCACCAACACAACTCAATTTTCCAGCGAACCAACTGATACCTTAAACTAACATTGTCATACTTTTCTAACCACTATGAAATGGTAAAAACACCAAGTCTGTGAAGGCTATAGCTAAAAGTTTGTATTTTTTGTTTTATGGAATATATGGTAAATGCATCTTTCCTATTTTTTAGGCAATAATTTTCAAATGGATTGATATCTCAAATCTTTTTCTTAAAACAATAATACTACAGAATTTAAAAAGTTTACCTAAAACTTGAAATATCAGGCTGCTTTTTTCTGTTTCTCTTCAGTTTGTAAATCTCTCTTGTTGCTCGCTTTAACTTTTCTTCCACTTTTTCTTCAGTTTTATCGTTACTTTGCTGGAAGTATATAAAAACAGTTGTGATGAAAATGAGTTATCATATAACACTCAAGTTGCTAAGGTAATTTAAACCTTTTCCCCCCCCCCCCTCAATGAATGTTGTACCAGTCAACAAAAGAAATAATGTTGCTGTTTTTTGTAACATACAAGAAATATACATTTTATGGTACAGGAAAGCCATTTGTTGTTTTGTAGTGGAAATCTACAAACAATCTGCACTCTGTACACTGCAGGAGAACCCTGGATTTTATCATTGTAAGTCCATAAACTTATCACTGTCCCATAGTGGAACAAACAGAATAAGAAAGATAACATGATAGCTGGTACATGTTAGAATCATATGGTATTAATTTTATGGTATGTGCTAGAGTAAAACTAACTGTTAGTACACGTAATTATCATGAGTAATGTTAAGACCAATAATTATTGCTACAATTAACACCAGCTATCTCTCTGGTTCATGCTAAAACTGACCGACTTACTGGTACATCTGGAAAATGCTAGAATCAACCAATTTATTGGTACATGTAAAAACAGTAAAATCAATTAAAATAATTTAAAAAACAACTTTCTGGGACACGTAAGAAAACCAACAGGGTTTTTTTTTTACATGCATGAAGAAGAAAGTAACTTTCAGCCACATAAAATAACCCACTTTTACAGTGAAAGTGAAAGCTAACTGATTTCTTGTTAGACGTTCCAAAACTCAACCAAAAATGCTTCTTACTGGAACTATCATCTGTATTTTTCTTACATACTTAAATTTTTACTCCATTACAATTGTTTTCGTGTTCAAGTGCAAAGCCACACAATGGGCTATATGCATTAAACCCCAACTTTTAACATTTTAAGCCCTCAAGCTTACAGCTGAGTCTATTAAAATTACATGCGTGTCTAGGTGTTTAAGAATCGTGAAACCCTTCAATATTGAAAACACTGAAAACAGTCACACTTTTCAAAAACAATTTTTTTACAATTTCAAAAGTAAATAATTTAAAATACAAATAAACATGAAACTCTACAAGATACAAGCATAGTACTTAGTTTCAATATGAATATTTGATGCGTCCAGCAAATGTACACAATGTAGACCACACAGTGTCGGTAGACTAATGAGGATGTAGTATAACCATGCCCAGTGGGTCTTGTACATTTCTAAGATATGTTCAGAACTTTTACTATTCTGCTATTTTTACCACATTAAACAGATCAGTTCAAAGATTTATCTAAATAAAATTACAAGCATGGTGTTTAAAACTACTTGCAGTGTCTCATAATAGCCTTAATATGTTTAAAACTACTTGCAGTGTCTCATAATAGCCTTAATATGTTTAAAACTACTTGCAAAAGTAGTTTTAAACATATTAAGGCTATTATGAGACACTGCAAGTAGTTTTAAACATATTAAGGCTATTATGAGACATTGCAAGTAGTTTTAAACATATTAAGGCTATTATGAGACACTGCAAGTAGTTTTAAACATATTAAGGCTATTATGAGACACCAGTGTCTCATAATAGCCTTAATATGTTTAAAACTACTTCCAGTGTCTCATAATAGCCTTAATATGTTTAAAACTACTTGCAGTGTCTCATAATAGCCTTAATATGTTTAAAACTACTTGCAGTGTCTCATAATAGCCTTAATATGTTTAAAACTACTTGCAGTGTCTCATAATAGCCTTAATATGTTTTATCTAAGTTAAAACAAGGTGTGGTTTATACAAAATTTTCTAACACTTTTTTTTTTCAAAATTATTCATTCTTTGGTTAACTTACTTCAATATGAGGACACTTCATCTGCTTTTTTTCTGCTAATGAAGATGACACAGTATAACGACCTACAAAATAAAAAAAAGGACATCTTTTATACATGCACAAAAATTGGTGGAGGAAATTTAGTGTACTTAAGAAAATATTGTGAATAATACAGAAAATTAAAACACACTCTTTGGCAGTAACAGTGGTAGATTGCAAGTGAGCCTGGTCACTTTTGAGGTCTGTTATATTAGTCAGGTCATTTTCGACTTCTAGTAAAAAGAGTTCGTTCACCTCTAAAATCTAATAAGATAATCTGGTCACTTTTAATACCCAGTAAAAAGTCTAGACATTTTTGATGATAAGTAAAATAGCCTAGCTATTTTTGATGATAAGTAAAATAATGTGGTCACTTCTGACATCTCGTAATAAAGCCTAGCTATATCTGATAATAAACAAAATAATCTAGTTAATTCTGACATAAAATAGGTTTACTTATGTAGAAGATATAAGTAGCCTGGTTCCCTTTTAACATTAAATAGTCTTATTCCTTCTTCAGTTTTGTAAAGTAACTCCACTTTACTTCAATCACTTAGGTAGAGATATTCCACTTGGGTGAGGTAATACTTTGCAATAAAAAATATTCTAGAAAAAAACATGGTTACTTACTGGAAAGCTTTGCATCCTCAAGTTGCAGTTTCATTTCTTTTAGCCTGGAAATTTCATGTTGTAAAAGGGTCAGCCGCCTGTGCGAAGCTTGGAGGTCTAGCACTAGGTCTAGCGATGTTCGCACGTTAGAAGTTTTAGGTTCATTGGACGGAGAATAACGGTGCTTGGCACGTACCGCTATGATCTGAGTGATATCGTAGATTAAAAAAGTCTTCTGTTTAAATAAATCTTGAACTTTTCTCAATTACAAGTAATCACAACATTTGTCCGCAACAAATTTCCAAGACATAAAATAAAACTGTCTATATACTTTTAATTCTGTCTATCATCTTTTTTCTTTAAATAAAGGACTGAATACACGTGCTTTAATTATTCAGCTATCTACATTAAGTATTGATGTTTCAGTACTTATACATACTTGCAAAAGTGGTACATTAGATGAAATTAAACTTACATAAAATAATTTTGAATAGAATATATATGATTAACTCTTAAATATTTTGTGTCTGGTAATGTTCAATAAAATATTGAGAATATTTCATTACTACTGTATTTAGCAAACTACAGCAAATAGTTAGATATCAGTGAGAGAATAACAACAACAAGGGTACTACCAACAACCACTAACAACAAGGGTACTAAACTGACAACCTAAGAAACTTTCTGTAGCTTTCCTGTTACTCTTAGTTAAGCCTATTTATTATTAACTGTTAATTTAGATTTTTAAGAACTATTGTGGTAGAAGTTACATAATTTCCACATTAATATATTTTCCTGGCTTCCCTTTTATACACAAATGTTAACTAACATATATTGCTATTATCAAAAGCCAGGAAAAAGTATAGAATCAATAATATTCTTTAAACGTAAATCAAGTTTTCAGCTTGTCAAGGTTCCTTGTAGTGGACAAACTTATTTGATCATTTCTATTAAGAAGCTTCGTTCCTTATTCAAAGTTTTAAATCAGTTACCTATTCAAGGGTACAAAGGTCAAATTTTATAAAAATATCTCAGTTGGAGAATATACTAAAGCACTTCAATCAGTTTCGGAATAAAGGAATTACATAAGTACATAAACAGTTTTTAAATTTACAAATACTATGATAGAAATATTTTGCAAATATTCTTAAAATGGTTTTAAGTTTTGTAACTAACCAGACCGAAAGTTATTTTATTTAAAAGTGGGATTTTACAGGAAATTACTCTGATGATATGAAATCTATTTATTATTTTAAGCAGTATTAATTAAAAAAAAACACTCACATTTTTCTTCACTGGCTTTTGCTGAAATGTGACTCCTTTTCTGTACAATGGCATAGAGCTGTCACTCTCACTTCTATTCAACTAAAAGGGAAAAATGAGAAAATAATATTAATAAGCCATTTTAATCATGTTCAAATGGATTTTTGAAATGATTGTTTTTAAAATTACCATTCAGTGTTACTTAAAAATATTCAATATATTGAATAAATAATATATCTTACTTTTTTTAATCTTTTTAATTAAATTCATTAACAGTATTTGTAAAAATTGTTTAATATATAGACATATTATCTTTTATTAGTATTAGATTATCTTGCATTGTTAGTTTAGTATATGGAATTAGTACTAACATAAATCTCCTATGCTGACAGAACACTGAGATGTTATTGGGATTATGGCCAAAAATGTGGCTAAGGTTGAGGGTACCCAACTGATGAACTGATATATTCTAATTATTATAAGTAAGAATGGTACATTAAATCAGTTATATTCAATACTGGATTCAATTTTTGTTCTCATCTAAATAGGTTGTTTGCTTTAATTAATGATAAAAGCTTATAATTATCAGTTATACTGAAACCTTTGTCATAGAACATCACACAGAAATTTGGTGTTTTAAGGTGTTAAAATAAAATTCACTCATTTGCAATTCTTTTAATTTATCAATGATGCAAGTAAACAAATACATAGTAAATAATTATTTAATATTTTCATAAAAGTTATAGAACTTACTTTACAAACATAGTTATGTTTGCTGATAGCAGCATTAGGGGTGAAAGTCTGCGATCTCTTTATAACACTAGCTCTCACACTATCTTCTATTTGTTTCTGTTTACTTTGGAAAGGAAGAAAAATACACTCTGTGTTGGTTTCTTTATCACACAGCTCCACCTGGTGACTTAATCTCTCGGCTACGTATTCCTGAAAGAAAACGAAGAAGTTAATAGACTATCATTTTTATCCTTTGTTAAATGTCACTGCAAATTGTAAGTAACTTCTGTACCAATTTGATGAAGTGACAGCTTTGAGTGTAAACATACAAAAAATGAAAAGTTCAGCAACTAATCATAACTATCATAAACATTATGTAATAACAAAGAATATTAACAGAAGTTTTGAAAGACGGGTGTTTTATTAAAGTTAAACTTTCCAGATCTACTAACTATATTTAACTATTTGGTTTCAACACAGGACAATGTGTAGCTTAAAACAATGATCAATGGAAAAGCTTCGATCTTTGTATACTACCAATGATTACCCCCTTTCTGCTTCATGCTGCATGGAAACAGAAGTACGAGTACAGAATGTTTAGAGCCAAGAAATTACAATAAGAGTTTTTTCCCAAAGTTAAATAAACATAAAAAATAAATAAAACTGCATGTTTCGTATCAGTTACAAAGCTCTGCACAAAGCAATGACATAAACAAATGTACGGTTTGAGTAAAATCGAACAATCAATAGTTTAGTTGAATTATTTTGCTACTTTTAGGTAACTGGTAAGAATGTTGCTTTACTCTTTGTTGCTTTGTGTCTTCAAAAAATCATATTTCTTTCTCTAGTCTAGTTATAATCGTATTAATTCCAACATTATATAGTCAATAAAATTGTTATTAATAACGGCTAGTAAAGCTACTGATATACTACAAAATAGACATTTGGAAATAAAAGCTTACACGTAACTATACATTAGGAACATCAAAAAAGTTTTTTGTGAAATTTGACATTTATCATACATGCATGAAGACAGAAACTTAAATTCAGTAACTTAACCTTCGCAGATCTGTTAATACGCTTCATGGTAAATTTTAATTTTCTTTTGAGAAAGTATAAATATACTAGCTTTATATATATATATGTTGTTGTTTTTTTATTACTGCACAAAAACCAAGCAAAAAATATACAAAACAAGATAATTTAAAAATATATTTCAGGTTTTAAAACCAACAGTATTGTTTTCCAACATCAATAAAAATTCTTTTCACACTGTAAATGACAGATATTACACACACACACACATACATACCTACATACAGCTATGAAAAAATATGTATGTATATGTAGAAATTAAAAAAAATTACAACTTGCCATTTTAGCAACATTTACATCACTAAATATGGAAAAATGCCACTCTTAACATTTTTAGTCTAATTAAAAATAATTTAAGTAGTTTTTAATATTCCTACAACAATTATAATTTCTAAAACAGAAACTCACCTGATGCTCACCACACCTGGTAGTTTGTAATATTTGAAATTCTGTCATGTCCAAATTTTTTCTACTTTCCTCTTCATCGTAATGTTCTTCCTTATTGCTAGTATCTTCCTCTGAATCATTTGGTCCATTTGTTAATTCATCACATTCCACAACATCGGAATCTTAAACAGGGAATAATAGTAAACTGACAAAAATATTCCATAATACTTATTTACTAAAAAAATAAGAAGGATAATATTATTATTTTAATCTTAAAAACATTCAATTCACTGAATAAATGGTATATTTTACTTTTTATTCTTTCTTTAATGTTAGAACTACAAGTACGTAAATATTGTTTGCTTTCATACTATTAGCATACAACTGATTTGACAATGTCTTCTAAGAACACGTTTAAAACACAGTAACTGACTTGGACACTTCCGTGTTGAAACGTAAAAGACAGATTCAAATAGAAGATGCTGTTATTACGATATAGTGATAAATAAAGAAAAAAGAGATTGACTTTTGTATAATATATTACTAAGAAAATAGTACGGATATAACATGTAAAAAAAATTAAAATAAACTGTTACACATGCTCTAGAATTAAGTGCTAACTTAATAGAAACAAAATGCATTTCAGAAAATTTTTAGGAGCTTTTTTTTGGTTTTTACTTTAATAACTTTTTAAGAATGTGATATTTAACCCTTCCCTTATTAAACAGAACAGGAAAAATAAAACAAATTTTAGTTGACTGGTCTGTTTAGTTATACAAAAACTAAACAGTAGTTATCAATGTGAAATACCACAAAAATTGTGATAAAACATAGTGAAGAAGGTTCCATTAAAACTTATTATGCAAGAACAAAACTTTGCCATGGAGAGGGACTGTTTAAGCTACAGTTACAAAAATTAAAATCAGTCAATCAATTTCAAAGAATAACGATTTGGCACGGAAGATTACCTTGAATTCTGGTAAGTGTTGAGGTTGACACATTATTACTTCTTTCATTCAAGTTAGAGTTATTGGTGTTTGTAGATTCATCCAATCCAGCTTGTCCTTTTTCACTCACGGTGGAAACCTTAAGATATTACCACACCAACCATTTTAAAACATTTTAGTGAATAAGAAGAAAACACTGATTTAAATTCGAAATGTAATATTACTGTAATATTTATGTGTTTTACACACACAAAAAGAAACCTATCATTCTATAGGTATTTGAAGAAC